CGATAGATAGATAGATAGATAGATAGATAGATAGATAGATAGATAGATAGATAGATAGATAGATAGATAGATAGATAGATAGATAGATAGATAGATTTTAGTCTTTGATAGCAAAAACACTTCCAGTTCTATACAAGTCCATGGAAAACATCCTTTAAACTTGATCTCTGTAAACACTTTCCTGATGAGTTTTTGGTTCAGTCACTCATTTTGAATTATACTGAATGAAAAGTTAGATCTGTTCTGTAAATCTTGGTCATGCTGTGTTTCAAAATGAAGTATTATCTGCAGTATGAAACTGCACACTCTTTGGTCGATAGCCAGTGAGCTGTTTCACAGTCAGACCTGCCCTTACTCGTTACATCTGAAAGATGAGAGTTGGTTGATTTTTCTGCAACAAAGATGGTGAGGGTGGAAACGCTCCTCTCAAGGCATTAAATAATCAGACTTTAGAAATCGGTAGGTCCGCCTACCAATTTATGGGCTCAGATTATGAACTGAGCCCATAATCTCATCTGGAAAGAATTCACTGAGGTCATAAATGAAGAAAGCCAAAGTGACATTTCCCGATAGACTTCTATACAACTTGGCATCTTTTGCAACCAGAGGAGATGCCCCCTGCAGGTCATTAGAAAAACTGCAGACTCTAGAAACTTTAGCATTGGCTTCATTTTTCAGTTATGCTGATTCTGTATGCATGTGAGTAACATGGACATCAATTTCTAGTAAAACTTGAAATCCTTTACAAACTGTGGACATTTTTTGTAAGAATATATATGAATAACTACCATGCGTGTATATGATTATTGCCATTTATATACACAAACCAATGGTTAATCGTGTTTTATTGGTTTCTTTCTTAATTTTGAGTAGAAGGCTGTAGTAAAGTTGCCATTTTTTAAAAAAAATAATTAGACAATCAATCAATAGTAGAATATTAATCAGCAAATTGCTTGAAAACGGTCATTTTTCACGCAAAATTGTCAAAGGTTTACGGGCTCCAGCTTCTAAAAACATGTCACCATGTCAATATACGTTAATTTACATTAATGTATATTGATCTTATAGTGAGAATGAATTGATCACTCTCACAAATATCATTATTGTCTTGAGATGCAGTCAATATGATAATGAATGCTTGGGTTGTAAAATAAACAACAATCAGAAGAGAAGAGAAGAGAAGAGAAGAGAAGAGAAGAGAAGAGAAGAGAAGAGAAGAGAAGAGAAGAGAAGAGTCTGCTGAGAAAGCAGAGACTTCAGACAGAATAGCATAGAGGACATGCATTGGTCAGCTCAGCTCAGAGATCCAAACCATGATATGGTTTGAAAGATCTGGTTAAAAAGAGGAAATGAATAAAAGAACAAGTGCTACAAAGAGTGGGGGGAAAACAACATAAAAAATTTCAAGCAGAAGAAAGTTAAGCACAAAACAGCGACAAAGATGGCCAAAAAAAACTCAAACAAACCCAGTGTGACCGGGACATCGGAGGACACATGAACAAAGTAAGAAAAAATACAAAAAGTATAAGACAGAAATACTGCACTGTCGAGGAAGGTCAGAGTAAAAGGAAACCCACAAGAAGAAAGGCAAAGCTAACAGCGAAAGGGAGTTGTGCGATCTACAGAGCTGCAAGTTCAAATGTTTGGAAATTAACAACCAAAAAAAATTAAATGAGGAGCGAGAA